GTGGAATGATGCGCTTTGTTATTATAAAATCAATTGGTTAATCTCTGTAAATGTTTGCAATCGGATTAGATGTTGTGCAGTTTTTAAGATGGTCATTAACCAAGAATGGTGTTTCTAATGTTACGCGATTGTTATTTCATTATTTCCGACATACGCAAGCCTACAATGGAAGATCGTTACCGTGTTCGTATTCGAAATTGAATTCTACTAACCGCTTATTCACTCCGACAAGCTCTTAGTTAAAGCGAGAATAGTTGTGCGATAGTTTTTTTTGTGACTGAATGGCCACTGTACTGCACGTGCTAATTTTGTTCGTAAGGCATCGCCTTACAAGTAATATTCTTAAAAAATTATGTAACTGCTTGGTTTTCTCTTTACACTCGAAGAACCACACACTCTGTTCAATAATGAAAGCAGAGATTTATATTTCAGACATTTAGACAAGAAGCAAAGTGTTAGAAAAGGAAGGTTAATTAATATGAAAGTGTTGCCATGTTACAAAAATCTCAAATTACTAAGATTGCACAGACTATATAAAATTGTGTTCAATATGTATTGAACATTGCCTTAAAGAGGCATTTACAGCTTCACCAGATTTGAGGTAGCGAGCGTAAGGCTCTTAGACTCAACCTCGTTTATGAGTAACTAAGGAGTTACTGCTCGGGCCGTTAATTCGGTTATGCGATAGTTTAGTTAAAGCGTTATATTGAATGTAGGTGGGTACAATAATGAAAGAGAAGGACAGCGGCCTTGGTATATCTCTGGAGGGTACAGTGCGCGTGGTGCGCGGCCGCGAGGTGCAGGCGCGGCACTACATCCGCGCGATCGCACCGCACGGGCCTGTCGCACGACTCGGCATTTACAAAGTCGGGGATGAACTGTTAGAGGTAATTGACAATACTGTACACAAATTAATCACTAATCATACTTATATTATGAATGTGAAAGTTTAGATGATTTTTTGTTAGAGTTTGTAGCCTAAACGGCTGAAGGGATTTCTATGAAATTTGGTACTGATATAGAGGATTCATTTGTCCGCGACTCCGTCTACGTCGAATTAAAAAAGCAAGTAGCCTTTGTGTTCTTTATTAAGGTCTATTCAGCAGTTTCGGCTCCTATGTCTAACAAACATCCATCTAAACTGTCCCATTTATAATATTAGTATGATAAATCCAATTACACAAAACACAATTTTACTTACGATTACTATAAAGAGAGAAAACTTGTGTTTTTGTTGTATTGTAGTGAGTAAACTCAAAAACTACTGGTCCGATTTTAAAAATTCTTTACCATAAGAAAGATAATTTGTTAATAAGTGATACAGACTGTATTTTAATGTTATTAAAAGTAAACGTTTTTACTTTTTTATTTATTTAAAACTTAATTTCTTTGATATTGCTTATAGGTAAATGGTTGGCGGGTACTAGGATCGCATCACGTCGAAGTGGTGACGAGGTTACGAGCTGTCACCTCTCCCGTTCTACTCGTCTGTGTCAGAAAGAGACAGGAGGAGCATAAACAACGCGAGAATAGTTTCTCTAAGGTAATTACAATTATACATTTCAGTGTTAAGAATGAGTGTGGATGGCTACAAAGGAAGAGGAAGACCGAAGAAAGTATGGATTGTGTGAAAGAGGATATGCTTAAGAAAGGAGTGGATTCAGATATGACGGCTGTTAGAGATGTAAGGAAGAGCACATACTGTACCGACCCTCTGTAAGGGATAAGGGCAAGTGGATGATGACATTTGTAGTCACTGCTAACTCCAATTCCTGTTACGCATTTCTTTTCTCTCCAGAGTGCAATAATTGGCGGCAGTTTGCAAGATCTATTGTCAGCGCCGCAAAGACTGATTAAAGCCAAGTCTGAAAGTTCTGTCGCCTCGCTGTGCAGCGCTG